GACACGGATATGAAGCGCTGCTCAACAATACCAAGAAGAGGGATGAGATGAAGATAGCTAAGGCAAAGGACCAACTGGATGATGCTCGCAAGCTCTACGAGGTCCTCAATACCGAATTACACGAGGAACTGCCTTCTCTATACGACTCTCGTATCCCGTTCCTGGTCTCTAATTCACAGACCCTCTGCTCTGCTGAAGCCCTTTTCCATGTTGAATGCTCCAAGGTATGACTAACCCAGTTTTTTTATTCCGTGAGTAAAACGTGAGCGATGCGATTCTTGATGAAGAAATCAGGATGCGTTCTATAACCAAATTTCCGCGCCGGTCTCCTGTATTCAGGTACATGGTGAGTTAGAGGCTGTGATGGAGAAACTGAACAAAGAGGCTCGAAGTGGGGGCTATAATGTGAAGCGCCACCCACCACGCTCACCTCGTACCCCAACCAGCTCACCCACCAGGTAGATTATAAACTCCCTTTTTGTTTCTTCACACTTCACAGAAAACTATAAGGAATCTTCCATTGATGCATCATTTGATTTCTTGATTAGGAAATCCATAGGTATGGTTCATGGATCTCCAGGTTCTTCCCCCTCCAAGCCAGAGGGAAATCAGCAGCCATATGAGGAGATCCCCGACAATTACAAGCCCAATGAAAATGGAGAACTTTCTCCTGGTAAGGCTAATAGGCTTTATGGGATGTCATTAATGCTTGTTGATGTGCAAAGCAAACAGAAGGATGATTCTGACTATTGCAAGGTGTACATCAGTTCCCTAACTTACTCTTTTGCATTCTATGCTGCCAACAGTGGAATGGCTAAGGAATATTCTTAAGTCCATGATTGTCAATTTGCAAAGAGCCAATCAATTGTAGTGGTCATACTCCTGTCCAGCATGGCAAAAGTAAGTAAATTGGAAATGTAAGAATTTATTATTTAATCTTCTGCTCAGTATCTGTGTGGTGGATTCAAAAATTAGCAATCAGTACAGCATAGCTCCTTCAGTCTGTGAACAGCACTGTAATGCTGAGTGCTTTAATAGCTATGTTTATTTTTAACCAGTGTGAAATTTCAGCTTTGAGTCTAATTTCATTAATTCTTCCAATACTTTTCTTTTAGTCCAGTAGGTTGAATCAACTGATTGGTCAGTTTCTCAAAAGATGAGCCTCTCTTGAACTTGCTGCATCCACATAGAAGTTGTATTTATTGAAAGGGCTGACTATCCCTAACCTTCTTGAAACTGCTTATGAATGCTGGCAGTTATAATCACTTTCACGGGTAAAAAAATTTGATGACAGCTCCTTGTTCTCTTTAAAAGTTATCCATATGCAATCTGTTGATGCAACCAACTGTACTGATAGAGTCTTTAAGAAATTAATGACATTAGATGTGAAGCTGAAGTTCACACAGGTGTTGAATAAACATAGCCCTTAAAGAACAGTTTGTATGGGAAATGTGTAAAAATACCTTCACTTAACTTTGGTGAGTGAGGTGGCCGTGCTGATGGTCCACCGCAATGATTCAGTGTTGAGGAAACATTGCATTGAGGAAGTTATGAACTGGGAGGGGATAATCAAGAGTGGCCCATCTTGTTGAAAGGGTATTCTCGCTTCCAGACCCCCACAGCTTCCAATAAGGAGAATTTGAATAAGGAGAGATGTCTGTAGCATTGTCAGTAAAGGATTCAGAAGGCCTGATACAGGCCCAGTGAATCCTTTTAAAAGTCAATCTGGAAAAGTATGATATCTTTCAAATTTCACTGCAAAAAAAGTTCATTTGCTGGTAATCTGCATTCAGCATTTATTTAGACTGTTCTATTGTGCAACTTCTGTTAAATATGAACAATAAAAGTAACTATTAAAAATAAAAGTAACTTTAAATAATAAATTCCTTTATACCCTCCTTAAACTTCGTGGATATTCTCTTCCACATGAACAATCAATGATGCAGCTTGCAGAGTTCTGTTTGCTTATTAATAATAGTTTTTTTTCTCTGGTTAATGGCACAATCTCCAGGTTTGGAAACTTCATGCCAGAAATGTGACAAATCCCAGTACAATAAACCCTTTAAAAAAAACCACTTAGCACTCCCTTATGTTTTTTGAGTGGCATGATCCTTTTCCATTCATTGTTCAAAGCTTCTTGCTGTGTTGATGGCTAAAAGGAATTGTTGGAAAGTTCCTGCCACCTTTGATTTGGTACAAACACGATGACTTGTGCAGGAATTTGCATGGTGATGGTTGAAAGATGCATGACTCCATACCACCCACTGCTTCTCAAGTGCTATGTTTTTACTTGGGATGGGACATTATTAATACCATAATACCCAATTTAAAACTATGGCCTATATTGAAAACTTTCTAATCACAATGGTAAGGTTAGGCTGTTCTTTTCTATGGATTTCACTGGGTCAGCCTTCCTGTAGGATTGTGTGCTCCATGTTATTTGAAAGGAAAAGAATATTAAATACAGCTCTTAGTTCCATATTCATTAATTGTTTGAAAGCCTTCTAAGAACCTGAATTGGCTGGTTAAATCAACTTTATTATGGGGTAAGTTGGGGGAATGTGACCGTGGGTGAAATGTGGCCATAAAGGTACGTTTCATCCAAGAAATCTGTATGTTTCAAAAGTGATGAAACTTGGATATTGCATGCATCAACATTGACACAATATCATTTGCATCAATCTGCATGGATGGCCTAGACTGACTTCATATATGCTTGAGATATGGTTTTCAAAGGTAATCATCAATTGCAAGTCTGGATTTCCCAGCCAATAGTTATTTTTATTTTTCAATTTTACTCCATTTGTGGTGAGTATAGGAAGTAGTTTGTGTTTGAAGCATTTACATTGGACATTTGTTGAGTTCAAATTCAGTGTTGGTGTTCCGAGTAACATGAACTCCACTCTTTAACACCAGATTTGAACTCGCCCTGTGTTGTTGGTGTAACACCAGGTTAAACACGAAATGCCATCTCAATCCCAGGTCGATGTTGGTGTGAAGGGGATTCCCTATACTTCACTACGGGGTGTTACACTAATCCCAAGGGGTTCACACCAGATTGAATTCAAAAGCAGTGTTAGCAGCAAATGTGACTGGCAGAAGGTAGAGGCGAGAATTGTATTAAATTTCTGGGAGACAAAAAGGAAAAAAAGGGTCGAGATATTGTAACCATGCACACGTTATATACTTCATAACATGGTGCCTCAGCTGAGGAGCCATCGTAATGTTGCTCTACTTCTGTCTCACTCTCAGGTGAAAATTTGCGACATCATCAAATAATTTCAATGACTTGCAAATTGCAAGATAGTCAAATATGCACTTCTTCATACTCCGAATAGCATACTCTTAAACATCTTGATGGAAAATGTAGCCTAGATAACTGATATTATTCTTAGTTGGCCTCAATGCACAATATAAATTACATGAGTACAACTGTGAGCTTGAAGCAATGCAAACAATTCATTTATCACCCTGACTGTAGCTGTGGTACATTTTACTCTGATGCTGATATTTTTCCTGCTATAGCCAATTGACTAATGGTCAGTTGTAGGTTTCCCAAAAGGAGGATCAAGACCACATATCAGTACCTCACCTCAAGAAGGGCATTTAAGTACTTCTTCAAATTTTACATGAGAAAGAAAAAACTTCCTCAAAAATAAGCTTTTGAAGTTCAATCAGCTTAAGTACCCTTTTAGAATCCCATTATTCCTAAATGGCTAAAAATATGCAAATGTCCTTTTTGGCAGGGAATACAGCTTGATGAGCTGAAAATATGCCATTATTCTGGGTTCCATGTCATCGTTAAGGTCGTTACACACATTGCATGTCATGCGTCTTTTACATCTAGGCTGGTGTCGGCAGACAGATGCATGAGGACATACATGTATCCACTTATATTCAAGGGTTTTTACAAAACGCAGGGCTTATGTGTGGAATTGGGATGGGCTTGATTGAAAACGCGTGCCTTGAGTTTTGTGAAGTTTGGAGACATGCTTACAGACATGCATTTGCATGCATGCTTCTACCTGCCCAAGCAATGACGTAAAGGACGCATGATGCTAAAAGTGCGAAACAACCTTTAGTGTTGGTGCTACAGTTCATGTTAGTGTTGGTGTTGGTGCTATCGTTCATGTTAGTGTTGGTGTTAACACCGAAGCTGATGTTTGGAGAAGCCTCTCAACACTAACACTGGTAGATAACACCAACACCTGATTTGAACTCACCCATTGTCACATCATCTGATGGGACAAATTTTCTTCTGCCGCTACTAATTCAACAGAGTTGCTATTCACAAATGAAGTTCAGGGTAATGTGGCCATATGTATTTGGAGGGATATGACCTGTTTATAATTTTGCTCCAATTCATTTTCAGATACTAGTAAGTATTACTCTGAATAGAGAGCATCTATACAATAAGGAGAATTTGAGCAAGGCTGTTTTAACAGTTGGAAATGAATTTCAGTGTCTACACTGCCTTAAAAGCATATTAAATTCCTATAGAAAGTCTTGTATGGGTTGTGGCTTGATGTACCCACTGTGGTGTGCAGGACATTGAGTTTCACCAGCTGGGACGATTGCTCACACTGGGACAAGAATCAGAATGGGCTTTGGGCAGGCATTTGATTGTACAGGATGATTTTTATAATGTCATGCTATTTGATTGTATTATAACACATCCATTAGGGAGAAGCAGAAAACTTAGCAACAGTCACAGGCACATTTGGGAAACTTATTCACAACAGGTTGCAGCACTGTAATACAGCAATTAGCAGCAAAAATTGCATTGTGATATGAAGTTGACTGTAATGGAGGAGATAAAGATGAGCAGAAATGCATATATCAAATGTACTTTGTAAAGTAGTGATGTGGTCACATTTTCCTCAGTTCAGTGGAATGTGATCCAAGTTCTCCTCTTTCAATCTTTTCACAATAACTTCTTCAAAGTTAAAAACAGGTGGTTTTGTTATTTCAATAAGTAAAGGGTACTCCAGGGACAAGTATTCAGTTTCTTTTTCTTTTCTACCCTATTTAAAATTAGTTGTACACTTCATCAAAGTTGAAATATGGTCACATTCCCCCAACTTATCTTATTTGTGTTCATGGGAGATATTTTAAATGTTATTTGAGGCATTGCTAAAGCTCCAAATTTCCTTTTTATTCATTAGTGAGTTTTGATAACCTTGAAATATTACAATTTAGGCCTTGATTTAAGTAAAAAGTAGCAGTGAGCTGTTTCCCTAATGTTGACATAATATTGCACTTCAGGATGAGACAACATGTTCTAAGGCATTTTGTTGATGTAAAATAATGAAGACAAGTGCACATTTCTGAAATTTCCTTTAGGTGACCCACTAAGATTGGATCAATTTCATGCAGTTCTCTGCCAGGGAAAGAGTTATGGTGATTCATAGTCTTTCTTTGAACATTATCTCTTTTTAATTTTTTTAAGGGTTGCTGGGTAGCTAAAGTTTTTCTTATTCCTTTGCTATCTGGCTTATCCTTGTTTTATGCATTTCTTAAATAGCGCTGTGCACAAGCTCAGGACTCATGAAGGAATGCCTAGGATTGCAGCTGACTCTCTCTCCCATCTAAACAACCCCCCCACTGTCACGCATTTACTATCCAAGTAACCTTTAACCTAGGAAGACTCAATTTGACCCTCATGGCAGAGAGGAGAGATGGGGAGAGGAGTGATTTTCCATTCCCAGCCTCTGCAACTGATAGTGGTCCCACTCCCAGTCATGAATTTTCATTACCATTCCCTGTCTGTTCCTGTGACAAACTCTTTCTGTTCCCTCTCACTCCTATGGATTCCAGTCACATACACTCTCTTTCTCAGAGCATACCTCAATTCTCACTTAAAAAAACTCATAATTGACTATTAATCAAGTCTCATATGATGGCCAATAAGCAGAAGCTAAAAAAAAAACCAAGAAGAAACTATTTCCAGCATGAGTGCATGATTGTTACCATTGACTCTGATGTTGACATAGTGTTGCCTACTGCTTAAAGAAGTAACTTGAGGGAGAGGGAGGGAGGTAAAAGAGCAAAAGGCTTTCTTCAACATTCCCATTCTTAATTGACATATTTTTCTGCTTCGATGGGATTGATTCATATTCCTGCCACTCCTGCAGTTCCAGAACAATGTTGGTTTCTCTTCCTCTCTACCTGTGTCTCTCAAACCCAGGGGTCTCAAACTCCTGGCTTGCTGGCTTCATTCGCACGGAAACGCCCTATGTACCTCCACAAGTTTGAGACCCCTGCTTTAACCCATGGTTGCTATTTTGGGAATACACTTCTTGGGTTCAACCTTGACTACTGGCATTCTGTAACATCCTACTTCTCAAGACAAGAATTCCAAGTGGTTAAATTTTCCTTTCCAAAGATGTTGGGACCTGCATAGAGGAAAAAATGCTTGAATCAGTTGGATCCATGTCACAGGAGCCTAGCACACTGCTGTTCCAGACACCTGCTAATCTAGAAGTTTGCATTCATAAATGCTCAGGAGCTCCCATAATTTTAATTGCATTGTTGCAGAAAATGAGATGTGGAATTCTGCAAGTCTTGAGGGTTTTTATCAACACCCATTTTACTTAGATCTGATCACTGCAAGAGTTGCTTCTGGGCCTAGTTGAGAGCAGTGTTGCACCTTTCAAAGAAAAAGTGAGAGGTAGAGAAGCAGCGGGCAGGATGGAACCCTTAAATTTTGCCTTCATCACCTTATCCAGATTCTGTGAGAGTTGTCTAAATCGAATAATACAGAATTCTTTGTGATAAGAGCAATCAATGGAAAGAGTCTCATTTCAATCAAGAAGTTTCAAGGGGGTGGATAAAATGGAACATTTTATGTATAGATAGCCCTTGACCTGTATTTGGATTATTTATGCTACCATACTAGGCTCAGAGGGCATCATCAACTTCTGTTGGCCTTAAATTTTGTTGACAAGTAAGAACATATCTAATTTCTTTAATGGTGATGAAAGAAAAAATTGGGCCATCATGGTGTGCAGAATATAACTGAGTACTGGAATATTGGTTGTTTACTGACAGTTCTGAACTTCAGTCACAATTTGGTGCTTGGACTACTAATTTGCTACAGTACTATGGAGTGTCATGTAATTGAAATTTCTACTCTTGATGTTCCTCTCTCAGATAAACTCATGCATATGTGGTATTTTGCATGGCATGAGGAATTTACCTAGGCTATTGGATGAATATTAGTGTCATCTCTAATGTGTGAATTATGACCCAGGGGAAGAAGGTCATGGAGGAGGGTCACCTGGGAAATTCCAGGTTGTGAAGACAGCCTCCAATCCCCATGGTGGCCCCCCGACCGAAGTTGTCTACGACATCCCTGTCGGTGAGCCTTACCCAATCACACTAGTTCACTACGCATTACACTCATGAAAAAAAAAAAGAAGTCTTTGACCCTTTTACTAATCAAATTTTGCATACTTGCTCTCCTTGATCTGGCAAAAAGATTGCTTTCAGAGTGATTCAAAAGTTTCCAGATGTCAGAGGATTTCTAGCATAAATAATTAACCCAACCTTCATTCATATATGCCTAAACTGAATAAGAACCATAAAAACACATTGGATTGTTGTCAGCTATTCAGAGTAGATAAGGAAAGGATCCCTCTCACAATATGCCATGTTTGTCTGTGGTGATGCTCATCTTTGGCCATATTCACTTCCAGAGACTCTACAAATTAAGTTTCCTATTCTAAAAACATGCTTTGTTTTGGTTTTGCCTGCTTCTTCAGTAATAGATTCAAAATGGATGTAATTTGAGGCCAGCATGAGAGCAACAGTAGACCTACTTCATTTAACGAAACAAAGATTTATAATTTTTTTTAAACCTACACTTGTATGTGATATGGTAGCAGGATAATGATAGGAATAAGTAGTGGAATATTTTCATCTGGAACAAAATTTTTTTAAAGCATTTTTTGGTGGAATTTTTTCATTCTAATAAGAGAATTACCATGCTGGTATGACGTTGTGAAAATGCAAATCCCAAAATATTTGGATGAATTCTAGTAAATAGAGCCTTTTGGAACCACATCCCAGGGAACAGGAATTACTCAAGTCAGTGGGAAATGGTTATAATATGAATGAGACTTTTCCTCTTAACTATTTTATGAGCTTCACATACTATTTTTCCTAACCCTGTTTGAAGTGCAATGGGTTGTTGAATCTTCTGTAGGGGATTTCCTGAAATAAATTAAAAGGGCAAAGACCATGAGTGTATGTGACAATCATTCCCCTAGTTTGAAATAAATGCCAAGTAACAATGATTATTTGCTACCATCTCTCTCTGAAATTTAGTGTATCTTGCGTGGGATAGGATGGAGTCATGCATGTGACCATAATGCCATCTCTTAAATGGTAGGAAGTGACCTTCATGTCTGTGAGTTGTGTTGGAATTCATTTTTGATGTCACACAAATCATATGGAAGTGTCTTCTGTATTTGCAGGAGCCACCACTGATGATCTGCCTCCAGGGGTGCTATATCGAGTACGAGCCACCTATCGCTACCAGAAGGAAGATGTGGATGAACTGTCATTTGACATAGGGGAGATCATTCAGGTGGTGGAGTATGAGGATCCTGAAGACCAGGTGTGAATCATTGTCAATCATTGTGATTGACATAATATTGCCAAAAGTAAAATTGCCCAATATGCCAATTCAATACACTTGAAAGTTTATGCCATGTAGCATCACCATGGGACTCAAACCATGTGACTGCCTGGCAGAAGTAATGGATGGCACTTCTGTGGTCTTGATTGTCAAGTAACATTTCAACAGCAGTATAACAGGAGCTCACTGGTTTCTATGGGGAGATGGTAATTGGATTGCAGTTGGCAGAAGTCTGGTATTCACTCAGTGCATTTATGCTAGATGGCACATTTTAGGTATGGTGCTGCCCATGACTCAGGGAATTCGCACGAGGAGAATGGGAAAAATCACGTCTTCTTAGGATTGCACATGGGACTCCTCCCAATTTCCTCTCAAAACTTAGAGCTACAGCAAAGAAAAAAAGGAGAGCTTCTAACTAAAGCAAAAAAAATTTTTTAAATGTGATAGAGTTGAAGAATGGGAAAACTCCTAAATTTTTCCTGCTCTTACTACATAGTGCATGAGAACACAGGTTACATCCAAGACCCGTATCTTCAATTATGCTTCTCCTTCAAAGGAAATCCAAATTTTCTTTAGAGCCACTCATTAATGCAAGAATTTCCATGAAATCATGGGCCTCAGTGATGTACATGTGCATGATATGAGTTGGATAATAGTAATATGTTTCAGTTTCTTATGGAATTCAATGCAAAAGGAAACTGCTTGATACTTGATGTTGTGATTCTCATTGCCTCTGTATCCTCTTAAGTGCTGCTAGCTTCTTTAATTTTAAATCAATTGTGCTTCATGAGTTTTATCATAACCCATATCAAAAACCCTTTTTGAGTAGTACCTCTTAAAACTTATCATGTCAAGGATTAATATTGACTATTTTTTCTGCAACAGCAAATATAAAGTCTGATTTTCATAGGCCCATTGAAATTGAAGGCCTAGACTGAAAGTAACATTATGACAGGCCTTTCAGGTTGCTTGGATGCTCTAAGTAGAAACTTCAGACCATTGATTACATACTACATATCATTCTTGGCCTGAGGAAATCCCTCTGACTGAGAAAAAGAAGCATTTTCTTAGGAAAAACAGTCTCCAACTGCATGTTTCCATAAGAAATGTATTGAAGCTTGCATGCTTGACTCCCCCCAGCTCATTTTTATGCTTCCTGCTATCAGATGTCTCCAACTTAATGAACCCAGCAAATAGCTAATGCTGTTTTCATCCTGGCCCCACCATGTGGAGCTTAAAGTCATGGCAAAATGGAAATCTCATTGATGCTGGTAACATTTTCCAGCATGAAGGGGATTTCAGGCTGTCTTTTGTGCCGAGGGAAGCCAAATGCCATATTATAGTGCAATGAAAAAATGGTTAAAATGTTTCAATTCTGTGAGGCACAGAGAATTACAAAATGAATTTGATATGAAATTTTGTTTATATCCCTTTCACGCATGGTGTGGACAGTCAGCAAAGTGGATGGCAACATTTTTACTGATGATAATGGATTTTTGGAAGTACACTTACCTCAAAACTTTTTGTGTATGCAGTCAACTCAAGGGCATGTAATCTCTTCAGTGTTGCTTTCTAGCAGTGAAACATGTGACTACTACAGTGGAGTACCTCACCTCCTTAATCGTTAAACCCAAAAAGGCATATTTTTCTTTTGCTCCAAAAATTCATACATGAAAGGGATATGCTGCATACAAGATGGTCTAGGTTCAGATTAGAAACTTTCAAAACTAAAAGAAAAGGCTGAAAGTTAGGATTTTGCAAAGTTTTGTTGCCATACTGTACTAGATGAGCAATGAGCAGTTAGCTCTTTTCAAATGATAATGCCATTGAAAACACAAATAAAGACCTATAATATTTTTCCCAAGCAGAATTTCCTCTAGTTTTGCAGAATTAAGTATTTAGCCAAAGTGGAACTATTGAGTTCCTGCTAGTGTCATGGTTCTGTGGATTGGTGGCATCTTGGTATGACTTCAGCTAGCAAAAAACTATTCTCTTCATTGTTGACTTAAGGGCAGCCTGACCCTTCTTCCATGAAATTTAAAAGATTGGAATGTCATGCTTTCTGGAGTGCATTTCCCCCATACTAATCCACAGGTATTGGGAGCCATTGTTGGAATTGTAAATTAACAAAAGTCACCCTTTTAGAACTTTCAAATTGGCACAAAAAATCCATAGTTGCAACTCACAAGACCTGTAGAATAATTGAGGAGTTCTGGAAAAAGGGTGTATGTGCAAAATATAAAATTCGAGACAAGCGGCAAAAACTTCTCTGAACTAATCTGAGGCTAGTCAAAACTCAATTTCCAGTCAAATGATATCCTAGACCTTATCCCAAGTGAACTTGGCAGTTTAATTAATTAATTTATTGCACATTGCTGGAATGCAAGCAGGAAGTGTTTATAAGCCATTTTTCCATATCCATGCTGCTGCAATTTATTCCAACCAGTCTTTCATCGCTTCTTTCCAGTTAAAAATGATAGTTTGCCAAAAAAAAATACATATAGTTTTCAAATAAAATCTTTTGCAAAAAGGAGGAAAAAAAAACTATAAAAATTCAGAAAAGTTTCTTTCGCCAATTACTCATCAATGATCCAGTATTCATTTATTCATGATCTGGATCTTCAATTGCTTTATGGATATTACCAACTTCTTACAGCCTTCCAGAGGCTTGAATGACTGGGCCTCTTTCTTTCTTTTCCTCCTGTCTAGTTTCTTCCTCATTCTCACTTTCAGTTTGAAAGGAGGAAAATTTTTCACCAAATTGTTCAGCAATGCAGGTGCTGGAATATTCATGGAGACAGCCACATTGAAATTGCTAGGCAGTTGGCCTATTACATAATGAGCATAAGGAAATTGGCTTCTCCTTTACAGAATATGCATATTAACCACCTACTGACCAACCTATCCTATGACAAGTCACTTTAAGTAGCACATGGATGTGGATATGGAAATGGGCATATGGACAAAATATGCCCTTTTTCCAGAGAACTCCTCAATTAAGGAGAAATGCAATAATGGGACAATGTTTGATGGAATTATGGTCAGAAGATGGAAAGGTCACCAATATAAGATCCATGAAATGTGGGAAACCCTTGTAGGTACTTGAAAATTGTAAGAGTCCCAAATATGGAAGCTATTGGAGATTGTAATATTCAGTATCAATGACTGATCATTTTGAAGACATCTGTCATACTTCTTAAGCTAAATGACAAGCTCTGTGTGTTGAAGTTCTTGTATATTTTAAGTTAAGTAATGTACTAAGGAGGGTATTTTGTCCTTAAGCTTGCAAAACGTGTTTAGTGTATTTGTATTTATCTAGTAATTAAATGAACATTTCCCTTTCTTTATTTAAGTAATTTAAAATATGCTCCTGTTTATGTAGGAGGAGGGCTGGCTGATGGGTGTGAAAGAAGCAACTAGCGAGAAGGGCCTCTTTCCGGCCAACTTCACTCGTCCAATATGATCTGATTCTGAACCCGTCCATTGAACCCCAATCTCAGATGAGAGAGATCTGCTTAGCGGTTGTCTTCCAATTTACTTAGGCCATCATATTGTCTTCCTGTATTTCTTTCCTTCTTGGTTTTTTTCCCCACGCACGTCTTGGGCTGCCTCCTCCCATCAGACATGTGATACCGTGGCCTTCGCTCTTCTTCTATTCTTTTTTTCCCCCTCCTGTCTGTTCCTAATTTTAGGCCCCCTTATATCCTATCATTGATTCATTGAGTTATATTTCTTCATTCATCCTTTTGGAATGTTCCTTATATTTGGTGCATGTGAGAATGTTTTTACCTTGGGTTTTTGTTTCTTCCTTTCTTCTGCCCATGATTGATCAGTTTCACATCTTCATGTATACATTAGAGCCCTGTTCTCTGTGCTAACAAGGACATTCAGTGCAATAACAATGTTCTCCCAGCCCACACGATAGATCTGCACTGCCAAGGAACATGTCAAGAATCGTTTTCCCTTTGTGTGATCGTGAGTTCTGCCCTGTAAATACAGTGCTTGCTGTGCAACGAGACAATAACAAGTGTAAAGTGAATAATTTGAAAGGAAGAGAGAGCAGTACTAGAGGTACTGGTTCAGTTTTTCATTTTGCCTCATCTTCCTGATTGATCCAGTGCCAAATGTGAATGTAGCCTTTATTATTTCAAAGTTTCCTTCTGATGCCTTTTTCTCAGCTTTTTAACTATCACATTCTAGAATGCTCAAATTTTCTGCATTGGTCCTATTCCTTTGGCCTTCTATCACCCTGTGCCTAATGAAATAATATAAATCCATGTTTCAGATAATTATGAATGAAAAAAAGATTGTCTCCTGAACCAAAGCTTTGTTTTATTTTCACATTTTCTCCTGAATTACTTATTAGCATTTTCATTACCATTGACTTATGAAATAGGCTTGAGACCTTTATGGAAGAGGTAAATACGACCAGAGCCATTGCCACCGGCCACAATGGTCAGGTGCTCATGATGACACACGATGGAGCAAATGGACTGCAGGTGATCCTCTGATATCAAATTAGAGAGGAGCATCCCCTCTGAATTCCATGCCTCAATCTGTTTAACAGAAGAAGACAAGTACATGATCTGAGTCAAAAAGTAGGAAGTAGTAGAAAAGTAGGATTAACGTACCCGTCGGGGGAAGAGTTTGGAAGGTGAGAACAAAACATCATCTCTCTGTGGATGCCACTTGAGCTTGAAAGGAACAATGAATCTACCTGTGTTATTATCATGATACCAGCTCCTTAAAAGCTTGATCTTGCCAGGATCCTCACTCCCATATAATCGAAGACTGAAATGAAAAAAAAATGGTAATAATTCTCTCAATATACAGCCCTACACCTGGAGTCAGGAGAGATAACCTAATGAAATAGACTAACATACTGATTGTCTGTGCAAGTGGTGGCAATTCTCTTGCCTGTAAGAGGTGAGAAGAGAGCTGAGTGGACAATGCGTGAGTGGGGTAATGTTGTAACTGGCTTCGTCATTTTCCCTCGTATGTCCCATAAACTCACATCTCTAAAGATGCAATCATGAGAGACTTGTTAAGTTGGTCAAAAGCCAACACTATCAAGGAACTAAAGCTCAGACTCACCCATCACGAGAAGCAGTCAGCAGAAGCTCCTTCTTCAAGGGATGGAAGCAAAGTGACTTGACTGCATTTGCCCTCTTAGAGGAATGACATGGATATATGGCATTATACCCTTTTTGTTTTTGGTGCCCTCGTAGGTCAACCAATGTCACACTCCCATCACCTAAAAGATTCATATGCCCTGAACCCTTTATTGTTCTCTTTCTTTATTTTGAAGATTTTCTTATTTCAACTGGAATAAACCTCTTCCAATGAGGATGGTATGAGGAGACTGGAAGGTGTGGTATGTAATCCATAGGTCATCAGGATCACGATACACCTATAAAGAGGAAAAAATTCCCACTCATCATGACACAGAAATGGGAATATACCTTTCTAAGGAAATGTTCCAAATATCTGAGTGACCTCAAATGGGGATAATCCCATCTTATCCTTTGTTCATCCTCATATTCTGCAATGAGGGATACAGCACATTGATGCCAAGCTGAGGATGGCTATTCCATGACATGCACTTTCACGTCTAGGATAACAAGCAATTTTGTAGGGAAAAAAAGGAGTATTTTTTGACATACTTCTTCAAACACGAGGTTTTGGAGGTCTGCTGAACGGACACTTCCTTCATATGAGGTGGTGAGGAGATGATGAGTGAAATATGGTCGGAAAGAGAGACAGTTTATGGGCCTCTGGTGTGGTCTGAAAAGATGGACCCCTTCTGAAGCTCCTCTGGATGAGAGGATATCCCAGATTCCTATCACCAAAAATGAGGGTTTCAAGTCTTGACTTAGAACAAAGTCTAGAATAAACAAATGAGTCTCCCACATCCAGGGTGGGTAAAAACCATGATTTCTTTTCATATTTCTTGCATTTTTTGGCATTATTTTGTCACTTCTTAGTTGGCATTGTCTTCATTATCCACTGTTTGGGTGGGTGCTGAGATATACAGGGCTTATGTATGGGTACATTGTGTGTTAAAAAACATAGCCACATCATCTTTTCCCAGTCATGTCCTCCTGATTCCTATCTTGGACCCCATAAAAAAAATGAATGACAATAATAACCAGGGTAGGAATGATGCAGTGAGACACAAGAAAAATAGGAATTGAGTACCTAAATATGGGTATGTTGCTTTAATCTTAATTTTAAATCATCCAACTCTGCCCACATACCAACATATCCATCTCTGTCCCCAGCAGCAATGAGCACAGATGTAGTACTTGGGTAGAACTCCATGGAATAAATACGAGATGGAACAACTTTGGCATATGACTCTTCAGTGACCTTCAACTCCTCCAATGTTGATTGATATCTAGAAGTAAAGGATGGAAATGCAAAACAGCTGTATGTTATAAATCCCTAATTTGGCCATTTCATATAAAAACAAACTCACTTGTCTAAAGGAATGAGATTCATGTTGCTGGTAGGTGTCTTAGATCTGAAATTTTGGATGCTGCCCAAAAATAACTTTGTCTCATCCCATATGTCCTGCTCCAATTTGTATGCATCTATCATCTGCAAAGGCCCTGCATGACAAGAGAGAAAAATATATTAGAGGTCAAGAAACCTTGATACACTTTTAACCTACTTGGAAAATTTATTGGTGAAAGGAAAGTTTTGATAATCAGGATATTAAGAGGAATGAGATTTACTCCATCCATAAATTTGAATGCATTCAAATTCTGACCAGATCCTACCAGATGGGATGATATCGGCTTCAGCTTCCCTTTCTGCAGCAGCAAAAGATGCTTGTTCCAAGGCCTCAAAAGATAATGAACCATCCTTTATATCCCCTTGCAGCTGCAGTCTCAAGCTCTTTCGTGAAGGCAGGCCCTCCAAATCATTTGCTTTCCTTTTCTTTACACTGAAAAAGTAGCATTTAGGAAAAGCAAGTGTTAATGATAATTTTTCAGGTCAAATAAACCTAGGTATGAAGGATACAACACAAAAAGAATGCAGTCACATACTTTTTGACAACAGACATTTCTAACATTTGGTTGAAAGCTGGATGTCACAAGTGAAATATACAGGGTGGGCCAAAAAAAACCGCCCCAAATTTGAAGCTTAATAACTTGGGCCAATATCAGTGTTTAAAAAAGCAAAATGAAGCTTGTTCAATTTTCTTTCAAATACTATAGAAAATTTGGGGGTTTGTTTCAGAGAAATGGCCACTATTACAGTTTTTAAAAAAGTGACGAAAAAATTTCCTGAAAAGAGCTTTCCTGAGTTCTTTCCAATGTCGTGCTGCTGCTGTCACCTGTTTCTCCCGCGCACCCCCTTCTCCCACGCACCCCTGCATGATATGGATTGGTTGCTGAGAGATCATGTGATCATGAGGCAAGTAACATGAGGCTGTTGTAGCTTGTGGAGTAGGGCACATTGAACCATTTTTGAGTCATTAAAAGGGTCTGTGTGCGTGTGAGTGATAAACTCGAGGTTGAGGAAAAGGAACTTGGAGTAAAAGCCCATTTTCAGGAAAATTTTTCATCACTTTTTTTAAAACGGCAATAGCAGCTATTTCTCTGAAACAAACCCCCCCAAAAGTATACATCATTTGGAAGAAAATTGAACAAGCTTCATTTTGCTTTTTTAAAAATTGCTATTGGCCAAATGGGGCCCAAATTATTCAACTTCAAATTTGGGGGGTTTTTTTTTTGCCTACCCTGTACATAGAGAGGAGCTCCAAAAGAACCACTCTACCTTCAAACAGCTTTAAGTATTACAGGGCAGGACAGAACCTTTTTCTCCCCCCCTTCAACCCATAGCATTTTAGCTATTAATTTATGCTGGGTAAGATCTGAAAGCCTGATTTGATCAGAACAGTTTCTGATCATTTTCAAATAAATATATCAAAATGGCTGATATTTACAACTGCAAAAAGCAGAAAGCGATTGATATAATTAAATGTATTGCATTTTGTGAGGCTCAAACTGCCCTTGCAGACCTCCAGAGAAACCTTGTCCAAGTGCTCCAAGGCATGGAGAACTGAATAGATTTGTTTCAAGAACTACTGAATCCTACCCTAGTTATCTGTAGGCAGTTGGTCTAGCAGGTGGTGGTTGCATAATTATTGAGTTGGTCATATGAGATTCATTTTTATTCAGGAATACAATGTTCAATTGGTTTTTCCTGAGTCTCTTTCATGTTGCAGTACTGGGGGGGGAGAGAAAAAAGTTCTATCCCACCCCATATATTGTACAGAGTACATGAATAACATTTTGTTTTAATTTATGAAGAAGGCTGGGAGCTTCATGTATGTAAACCACCATGACTTCAATTATAGCATAAACTGGTGACATCAGACTAAGGTTGTGGTCAAAATCCATTATAACGTGTCATATTTCTGACCTGAGCATCCTTTATTAAGGTATTGGACAGAACCTGTTGGCTGAAATACAGGGTGGTTTTTTTAATTATAAAGTCTTACAATCACTTCTGGGAAGAATAACTGCATTACATATAATCCAATTTACAAGAAATTCACAGGGTACACAAGTGGATGTGAATGGAGTAGCAAAGACAGGTGGCACTACAACAAGTTACAACTGTTTGATATGTGCCTCTCTCCTGAACAAGGATGGAATTGAGACATGTCATCACAATGCAAACTGCACTCCTGTGTGGGCCTGCAGTCCTCACAAAGACGCAATCAACTCGTAGCTGAACCTCCAAGTGTAACTGGATGTCTCAAGTCAACTCTGCTCCCATGACTCCCAGTGCTTGTGCACCCCACTGTACATGAGTACAACAAGATTACTGCAACCTGTCCCTCTCAATTCACTGCGATATCAATGAGGCCATCCCATCCTGCTTAAAATCAAAGTGCCGTTTCTGGACTGCTGTGAGAATTCTGCATGACCTGGGGTCATGTGCAGAAGAATGCTGGCGAGAAGCCTGGTCTCATGTGGACATGAAAAATGTGAACCTCATCAATGAACCATCAGCTGAGGTACCAGGTATCATACTCCCACACCACAAATGGGTGACCTTAAATCACATCCAGACTCTTCATGGTTGATCCAGACATCTGATGCACAAGTGGCACATTAACAATTGCCAATGTGCAAAGGCAGCACTCCAATCCAAATAATGGAGCACATCAACAAATCCCCATTGTACTCATTTCCCAGCAGCATCAAGGATATACAAACAGCATCACTAAAAACTCTTGACTGGATTTCAAAGATTAATATCAATTTCTAATAATTGCTATTCCCATATGAAAGAAGATT